CGGTTATCCTGCATATGTGGTAACGCAGTTCATACTGCGCCTTTGAGGTAGGCTACAGAAAAAATATTTTTTTGCGGCAGCTACCTACTGGGCGATTCTGGGTGCCTGGTGCAAATTGGCCATTTGGTGAAATGCAAATTTTGGATGCGCCGCCGTGTGGCTGTGGGTGACCAGATTGTATTTTTTCGTAATTTCGGCAAATCTTAACCGATTTTAATGATTTTGCTGTCAAATTGACGGGACTGAAGAGGAGTTTTTTTGGAAAATTATAAAAACGGAGAAAAGTCTGTTTTTTCGTAATTTCTACATGTCTTAACTAATTTTGCTGAAATTGATCCTAAATTAAAGGGGTTTGAAAGGAGTTTTGGAAAATGTAAGAAAAAGGCAATTCTTCGTAGTTTTGAAAGTTTTTAACTGATTTTGATAATTTTTGTGTCAAAATGACGGCATTCAAATGAAGTTTTGGAAAATTTAATGAAATGAAGAGAATTGTACGTTTTTAGTAATTTGGGACAATTTTAACCGATTTTGAGGATTTTGGTGACAAATTAAAGGAATTTGAGCAGAGTTTTGGCAAATTGAAAGAAAAAGGAGATTCTTCGAAATTTTGGTATTTTGATAATTTTGCTGTCAAACTGAAGGGATTGAAAAAGAGTTTTTGGAAAATTGGAATAAACGAAGAAAATAGTGCTTTTTTCGTATTTGCGGTAAATCTTATTCGATTTTAATGATTTTAATATTTTTAAAAGTGCAACGGTTTTTTGCTTTTTGTTTTGTTCTACTGTCTTTATTGCATTATTCCTTAGTCCCTAACTTTGGGACACGCTTTTCGTTTATATTTTAATTTACTTGCAGATGTTGTGTTACTATGTATGCCAGAGGATCGGCAGTACTTGTGAGTATTTTTTGTTTGTTGGTTATACTTACGCTCACTTCCTTTCTTCTCGCAGGAATTAAAAAAACGACTTTTWATTAGTTGTAATTGAACTATTAAATATTTATTTAAGTTGCTTTTCACGTGTTGACGATAATACATGAATTTCTTTTATAAATCGTTCGTTTTTATATATATTAACTTAGTATTAAATATGTTATAACATTTCAATTGACCTGATGCTTTTTAAGCTCTTAGACATGAACATGACAAAAACAATATTCAAAATACTTTCGTAACACAATCATGCCATTTTGGACGCAGCATTTTTATACTTCAAACAGGGTATACTAAGTTTGTTACAAAGTTTGTGACACCCAGAGGCAAAGATCGGAGGTTCTATGAATTATATATATTGGGTAATCGAAATAGTATTTTCATTGTGCTATGCAAGATAGTGTTGGAAAGGTAAGATTTTAAGCTTTATTTTAACAAAAAAATAAAAAATTCGGGGAAGTTGAAAAAAGTTACAGCTGTTCAAAAATGAGTGAAAATAATGAAGAAATTCGCAATATTTTGAAATGTTTGTATAAAAGAAGAGAAGAATGCCGTGCAAGCCACCAAGAAAATGTATGAAGTTTACGGAGGCGATACTGCATCAGTACGTGAAGCACGACAGTGGGTCGTTCTGAAAATTTCGATGTGAAAGATGCACCACATTCTGGTCGACCTTTCGTTGAAAAAGTCGTAGGAATTATGGAAAAGATTGACCAGGACAGTCATATAAGCAGCCATGACGCCGTTAAGGAACTTAACATTCATCATCAAATAGTTTTGCACCACTTAAAAATGGCTGGCTTCAAAAAAAAGATCGATGCTTGGATATTATACAAATTGTATGTGAAAAATTGAATGAACCGAATTAACGTGATTCTTTCCGGAAATGAAATCGAACTACATATTTCTGAAGCGAATGGTAATAGGAGGCGAAAAGTGGATTAAATCCGACGAAAAAAATCTTGGTTGAAGCGTGGTGAAGCTCAACAAATGTTCGCAAAGCCAGGGTTATGCTGAGTATTTGGTGAGATTGGAAAAGAATCATCCACTATGAGCGGCTCCAGCCCAATAGAACGATTGATTCTACATTTTACTGTCAACAGCTAATGAAATAAAAGCAAGCAATAAAAAAAAGATCTTAATTATTAAAGAAAAGCTTTGTTTTCGATCAGGATAACGCTAGAGCTAGAAAGTTTATATATGTATGTTTTTATGTAAAAGGCAGCGCAGCTAATTAAATTAGAACCAAAATAATATATAGAATTAATACTAATCATACAGAGTTACATTTATCGCCTAATATAAAATTAAAATTTCCACGATTTTTCACTGTTGAAAACTGCCAATAAAAGTGTTTAAATAACTAGCTTCAAAATTGTTTCAACATTCTCTTCTTTTGTTGTTGTCGTTTGCCTAATTACAGCAATGAACTACACTTATATTTTACATCAATGGTGATGCCGTATTGTTTAAACAGTTTATCAATGCTCCATTTTGTATGCATGTGTGTATGAGCT